ACCGGGTGTATGATGGGCCCCATGTGAGAGTTGCAGAGAGCTAGCTGCTGGCTAGCTATAAGAATATAGCAAATAATAACAATTAACAATTCAATTATAATGATAACACTTTACAATAAGGTTGTATTAGCCGATGTATTTATTAAAATGAACAAACAACGAGTTATACAGTACAGTAATATTTATGTTTGTTGATGAATAAAAAATAATTGTTCATTGTTAGTTCATGTTAAACTCGCTGTGCAATAACTAATGTTAATAGGCATGAATTTGGATTTTATTAATGCAGTGGTAAATGTTCAATCATGATTAATGTGATTTGTGTTGTGGCAACATGAAGGACTTAAGTCGGCTTAGCAAATTTAAGTGGACTGAATATAAAAAAATTAAGTTGTCCTAATAAAAAAACAAGAATTAAGTTGTTTCAGCTCATTTTGAATAGGTAGATAACTGATGAAACTGTATTGTGAAGTGTGACCTTTTCTAGAAGTTTGTTGAGCTCTTAGCGCTGTCCAAAGTTTCTTGGCACGTTCATTGTTTTATAGCAGTGTGTGTTATTAAAGGATTGCGTCTATTTGTTTAATGTTAGCGCTGAGCCTGCTCTTTGCACTGTGTACGCCTGAACATTCAGCAGATTAAATGTAACTTCCTCAGTTCAAAATGAAACAAGCATTATTTATTCCCATCCAATCAGTCAACAATATATAGCATTAACATCTCAGAGTTCATTTAAAGTTAAATGGGAAATTAAACTGGGCAAAGGCACCCAAATTAAACATGCTTGCCCATGCAGAACTGTACAGTGGCTGATCTGGGTGTTTGCCAAGGCTGCTTTGCAGTTGCGAGTGTGTTTTGTGTTTGTTGAATGCGTGGCAGTTCTGTTTTAGTGAATGCTTATAGGACTAGTTTTCTCTTTTTATATCAGATCCTGTAATATCACACATTTCCAAACAGCTTTATATATTACAAGTCTTTTACATAGACCGTGCAGAACCATGTAATCCGAAACATTGGGGTTTTGGCGTTAGATCTAAAGTACAGCGACTCCAAAGAGATGTGCTTTATCAGCAGCATTAGCATACCGCTGTCAAAGTAACACTGTCTGTTTGTTTGATTTCCTAAGCTCGGCGTTTTTAGATCTTTGAATGATGATGTTTGCAGAGCCAGAATGTTTAGTAGTCTGTCTGTTGTGGGAGGAAATGAATCTTCTGTTATGAAAGGTTTCACCTCATCAGTCTGACTCGTTCAACTCCAGAATCCTTTAACAAAGCAGAGCTGACATTTCAGAGGCGGCATGCTTTTGACCTCTTGTTTACTGTTTCCTGTGTCATTTCCCTGCTGAAAAAAATCCAGCTTAAACCAGCCTAAGCTGATTGGCTGGTTTTAGCTGGTCGACCAGCCTGGTTTTAGAGGGGTTTTGGCCATTTCCAGAATGGTGTCCAGCCATTTCCAGCCTGGTCTTAGCTGGTCAGGCTGGAAAATGACAGCAAATCCAGCTAAAACCAGCGTGACTAGCCTGGTTTAAGCTGGATATAGCTGGTTTTGGCTGGACTCCCAGCTTGGCTAGGCTGGTCAAGCTGGTGTTAGCTGGTCATCTCCCAGCCTGACCAGCTAAGACCAGGCTGGAAATGGCTGGAAACCAGCCTGGAATTGGCCAAAACCCCTCTAAAACCAGCCTGGTCGACCAGCTAAAACCAGCCAACCAGCTTAGGCTGGTTTAAGCTGGATTTTTCAGCAGGGTTGTACTGTACATTGTATTGATACAGTATTTCTAGATGGAGATATATTGTTCAGTTTGCCAAATATTGTTCAATTTGTTGCGAAATATGTATCGTCCACACACACACACATATACATGTAATTCTTACAGCCTCCTCACCCTTGTGTATTACTCCGCCCACATAGAGTGACAGCAAATTAATGAACTCACTACAGTTTGGCAAATATTGCAGCTGTTGGACAACTAATGTACTTTTGAGGTGATAATGTAGTTGTTTAGACGGCTGCTATGCAGTTTATTTATAAGGACAGTGCCTCTTTTAAACATTTATAATTTCTGAGATACTGTGCCCGTCATTGAGCTGAGCAAAGACAGTTGACGTTGTCCATTCACAAGATAGCGACAGAGACTGAATGATAAGCCCTTATTGGAGTAAGGATCAGCGTTTTTTCAATTTACAGCTCATCAAAACATTATAAAATTGGTGAGTGGCATCACAAAAGTGATGTATGTTGTAGTGCTGTATTTATAGCATCGTAATTGTAGTGTATTGACTGTGAGATGGCACTCATATCAGGAATGTATGCATTTTGTGTTGGCCACTCTTTGTACAACCCTGGGTTACTTTTTGGTTGGCCATCTGTTTCTAATGAATCTTCTGTTTTTGTTACTGCGAAATGGAGAAGAAATGCCTGCACGTGTTTGGTATTTTTCGGTATCGCAAACACAACAGTAATCTGGTAATGTTTGCGCTGCTTTGGCTTTTTCAAGGTTAATTATTGTGATCTCTCGATTGCAACAGAGAAATACTGGGAAATCTCTGTAGACTGATGTAGATTTTTAGCCTTATACTTTCAAAATGTGATCAAAAATCCCCTGTTTTGTCATCACTTTAGACATTACACTAGAGAATCATTTAAACACTTGCTCTAAAGTGACGTTGATGAAAGAGCAACCGTTTCTGCTGGTCTGATGTCAGCTGCAGATGTGAATGAATGGTGGAAGAAAGTAGTTCCTCCTACAAAAGGGTTTTAAGACTCTTCGTGTTTGATTTTCTTTTTTATATACACGATTATGTTGTATAAATGCAACATCACACTTGCAGCAGTGCGATATGGCTGTATATAATCACTGGTGGAGGGACACTAAGGCACTCATCCTGCGGCCAACGCACATCTCCTATCAGTGACGATATGCAGCTATGATGCAATGCTATTCGTTTGATATTGCTCTATATATGAACCTATAACGCATGTCTTTGGACTGTGGGGGAAACCGGAGCACCCAGAGGAAACCCACGCCAACACGGGGAGAACATGCAAACTCCACACAGAAATGCCAACTGACCCAGCAGAGACTCGAGCCAGCGGCCTTCTTGCTGTGAGGCGATTGTGCTAACAGCATTAGTATTTCTTAGCTTATCTAAGCACAGCAACAAGTAATAAATATTCATGCAAAATTGATAAAAATTATACAAATTTTTTGGAAGCTTATTATTTTTTATTTATTTATTTGTTTTCATTATTTTGTTAGTTATTTGATATATTTCTTAGATGCTTAGATTTATTTTATTACTTGTTTAATAGGTATCTGACAAATTGAGAACTGTTTATTTCTTAGTTTATCTACAGCACAGCAACAAGGAAATATTCAGAAACTGATAAAGGGAAACGCCAACTGACCCAGTCGGGGCTCAAATCAGCGACCTTCTTGCTGTGAGGTGACTGAGCCATTGTATTTCAGAAATAATTTGTCAAAATTAAGTCAATTTTCTTTAAACAATGGAGTAAGATTAAGACTGTTGCTTTTGCTTTGATATAAGATTCTTTTTCTTAGCGCATAATTAGCTAGGTTAAGGAAAAATTCACTTAATAACAACATATTTCTGAAAACAAGACAATACATTTGCTTCGAAAAACTTATAGAGATTTGGTCTAGAAACAAGACAAAAACTAAAAGAATTATTAAAAGTAACTTTTCCAATAAAAAATAAAAGCAAAAGCGACTGTGGATCGCTAATGAACTACAAATCCACCGTCACATGGACTACATATACTGTCATGCATCACTCACCCACACACACCCGTTCCTGTTAGTCCTTGATCACACACACAGCTGTGGTTCATCCCCATTGATGACTAGGACTATATATATATCAGTTTGTTTCTCCTCTCGTTGTCGGTTGTATTTTCATTGCTCCTTTCATAGCCCCGTGTTTCCTACTTTGCTCTAGTTTTGCTTTGTTCTGGTTTGTTTAATAAATATATGTTTAATGCTGCATTTGGATCCTCATCTTGTTTTTCTCCTTCGTAGTACACATCAACTTGTAACACCAACTCCTTGTTTTATATATATATATATATATATATATTAGAGCTGCACAATTCTGGCTAAAATGAGAATCGCGATTTTTTTGCTTAAAATCAAGATCACGATTTTCTCACGATTCTGTATATGTAAAATAAAGGTATGATAAAACAAGCATATGGCACAACTTCGATAGTAATATTATGTGTAGGTCTACTGGTTTCTATCAATAATTCTATTCTACTTATAATAATTCTGATGTTGAATTATTATGTTTGAGATATATGCTTGCAATCTGTCATATTAGACGATTTTATTCACTGGTAAAATCAGACATTTGTCATTATCAGATTATATTCAACAATATATAGGCTAGAGTAGTTGTACTGACATTGTGAACATTTATTTTCATGCACAACTGTGGGTTGACTATGAAAGAAAAAACATTTCAAATGCTTGCCGTAATCATAATGCGATATGATCATTTAAATGAAGTGAACACTTTTGGTTTCATTTTGACTGCTAAGTGTTTGTTCATACTTCGCGCGCGGCTCCCAAACGATCACTCTGTGCCACAAACTGAATATTATTTACAACTGTATTACCTGTTATAATATATATATATATATATATATATATATATATATATATATATATATATATATATATATATATATATATATTATATTATAGCTCTATAATATATATATTATATATAGCTCTAATATATATATATATTAGAGCTGCATAATTAATCGTTAAAAGATTGCGATCTCGATATATATATATATATATATATATATATATATATATATATATATATATATATATATATATATGAACAAGGAGTTAATGTTACGAGTTGACGTGTAGTGCAAAGAAGAAAAACAAGATGATTATATATATATATTATTTGTACATTTTTTATAATTTATATTTATGAAGTTATTTTGCACTCTTCCTCACGTTCCAGGACGCCACTGCGAGGTGCACCAAATGACTGGGAATTACATGTGGGACACAGACACCCAGAAGGAATTCCTGATCGGAACCAATCCGGACAGCCGTCTGCCCATGTGGTGGGATGGATCAGAGCCGCTGTGGGTCACCATGCAGAAACTAGGGAAAAAAGTCTATATGTACTACTGGCCAGGTTGGCGCACATCTAACTAGTCATGATTAAAGCACAAATCAAGTCTACAGTACATCCACACGGCCTTTCATAAAGTGTTTTGCCCTATTTAACAAAAATCTGTATACACTCATTGTGAGAAATACAAATTTACTATATTTTATTACGGTTACTGTACATTCAGTACTTGAAATCAAATTACAGTTAGATCTGAAAGTGTTATAAATGCTTACACATACACTTTAAAGAATAAGGCAAAAATAAGGCAGCAAGATTTCTACACTGTAAATCCTTTATGTTTAGGAGTGTGCGTTCTTGTTGGCGTTGTCAAGTCTAATATCTGATTTTAGCTCTTTGAGTCACCAACCTGATTTCACCAAGTAGGACATGTTCCTTGATTTACTTCTGTGTTGATCCTGGACATACCTGTCATCATTGGGATGTGAAAATAAGGGATATGCCCACCATAATAAGGGATTCATTGTAAATAAACAGTTAAATGGTCAGTAATTATTATTATTGACAAAAGAAAAATAAATATATACATTAGCAGCAAATACATTAGCCAACAGTTCAGCTTACTATAGCTATTATAATGAAATAGAATCCAGCTATCAATCTCATTAGCCGCTTCTCCACTGTATAACTTACACATTCTGATTAAAGAGCAACAAATAAATCTCTCATTTATTAAGATTTTTTATTACATTAAATAAGAGGTGTCACTTTAAAAATGCACACATCTAAGTAACGTTATAATGAAAGTATTCGACTGCTTTTTATGCTCATTTAAGACGAAATTAGTTGTGTTTGGGAAAAAAAAACACCTAGATCGACATCTTTAGATATTATTATTAGCTATGTGTATATGTCTGTTTAAATACACACCCTGAAGAAAGACTTTCCGCTTCAAAACCCGTGTACAGAATCCGTTTGGGAAACTGCATCTGTTTATCACTATGGAGCACGTCAGCTGACAGTCATGCACGATTATATGACTGTTTTGAGGATTGTATAGGATGGGCGACGGCACCTGTAATCAAAAGGAAATGGAATCGCGCCGTTTTTAATATATACATATCAGTGTTTTCATTCCTAAACAAATCGAAAGCACAGAAGACTCACGTTTTAGAGCAAGGGCGACCCCTGGTGGTTCGGCGGTATGGGTTGCGTATAGGGAGGCTCGGCTGTTCAGAGAAAGACTGAAAATACGAAAGAAATACAGGAAAATACCTTTACGGGATGATGGCGGGATAGAACAGTAAAATACGGGAGAATCACGGGAAAAACGGGAGGGTTGACAGGTATGATCCTGGAACAACTTTCCAATCAGCCAATCAGATTTAAGGAATATTCAATCCGCTTGTTAAGTGGTGATGTGTTTGTGACGTATGTATACTGTTTTAAGGTCCAAGCCGCCATTTATTTGAGAGGAGAAATCATTCGTTTATGATCACGTTTTATTCCTCCCTGCTGAAAAATCCAGCTTAGACCAGCTTAGGCTGGTTGGCTGGTTTTAACTGGTCGACCAGGCTGGTTTTAGAGGGGTTTTGGCCACTTCTAGGCTGGTTTCCAGCCATTTCCAGCCTGGTATTAGCTGGTCAGGCTGGAAGGTGACTAGCTTAAACCAGCTTGACCAGCCTAGCCAAGCTGGGAGTCCAGCCAAAACCAGCTATGTCCAGCATAAACCAGGCTGGTCAAGCTGGTTTTAGCTGGATTTGGCTGGTCATTTTCCAGCCTAACTAGCTAAGACCAGGCTGGAAATAGCTGGAAACCAGCCTGGAAATGGCCAAAACCCCTCTAAAACCAGGCTGGTCAACCAGCTAAAACCGGCCAACCAGCCTAGGCTGGTTTGAGCTGGATTTTTCAGCAGGGCTATCACATATTAAAGTTAATTTTATATAAAATCATAGTGTACACAACAATCTCTGGGCTTGCTGCATAACAAATACCAAAAACCTAACAATTTATAAAAAAATTCATCACTTTCTAGCCATCAGATATTGGGCATGGGCATATATATACTGCGATCGTGATTTTCGAAAGCATTAAATCGCTTTGTAAACGTTTTATAATTACCATTTCATGAGTCTCCCCATTCAGTTGAATAGAGCGCTTGGACCCGGAAGCCGCTTCCCGTGACGTCACACTTAACAAGCGGATAGTTATCCAACTATTGTTTCCATCTTATTTAGGGAATAATTGACAGTTATGGTTGGGTTTATGGGTAGGGAATAGGTATGGATTACATTTTCCAACTAAATTGATGTTCCAGGATCAACATAGATGTTAATCCAGGACAGTGGCGTAGCGGATGTGCCCGCAGGGCACGCACCGCAGGGGGGCCCGCGTGATTAGGGGGCCCCACGTCGTCGCGATTTTCAGTAATTGAAAATCTGGCAACCGCAATAATCAAACTCTTGGGAACAACTGTGGTCGGAAAGAAAAGTTCACAGGTCTGTGTTCTCTGAACACCTCTCAAGCGGTGGACTACTTCATTCTAATCGCTTGCCGCCAATGTTGCCCACTTAGCGACTTTGTCACTAGATTTAATTGGACCGTTTATTCTTTTCTTGTTCACAATCACCGATATTTTAGTGACAGTTTCTGAACTTGTCTGAGTTTATTACATATAAGAGATTACTGCACATTCACTACACATCTATAATGACATACTGTATTCAAACAGCAATAAATTTAGTTAAATAAACATGCTTATATAAAGTGCAATTATAAATACCCCTTTATTAACCATAGGCTGTTAAACAAACAGAAACGGTAGAACGTGATGACGTCAGTGATATGCAAATTGACGTATGACGTATCCCCCCCACCACCACCTTCATCAGGAGGCCCCGTCAGCGATCCCTGCAGGGGGGACTCCGCATTTTGCGCTACGCCAATGATCCAGGATCGCATCGTACTTGGCAAAATCATGATGAGCTATTTGCCTTTATATTTATTTATTATGTATTTACATTCTATTCCAGATTATTTTATGGATAGGAAATTCAAAGGAACATGATTTGCAACATTGCTAATGTCTTTATTGATCGATGTAATGTGTCCTAAAATGAAACAGACCAATCTTTTGATCACAAATGAGCTGTAAAGTATTTATTATGCATACTCTGGCAAACCAAGACTTGCCAGACTCACTTAATCATTGCCTTTCTGCTCAACGGCTTCTAATTTACATCAAAATAGGTGTGTGTTGTGAAATGATCTATTCAGGCTCTCCAAATCCGTGTTGATCTCTCTCAAATGCATTGAAGTGCTCTAAACTGTGTCACTGTGTGCTCAGGTTGCGAAGTGACCATTCTCGGAGTCAGACCTACGTTCTGTGAGGAATATGTGTACAATCCTTCAGAGAAAAACCTGACGGACTCAATGGAGAACGCTCTCAATGCGCTAAAGTAAGACCACAGGCCTCCTCAGAAATACTCAGAGGAACTTGCTGTTCTGGCAGAATAGAGCCTGGCTTGTTAATTAGCCAAGAGCTCACACAACATAGGTGTTGACAGTTAAGAGGAAAGAGGAGTATGTTATTAAGATATTGAGAATGTAGAAAGTAATTTGTCAGCACAACTCCTGGGGAAAGCCACAACTGATGAAATGTGTAGGCTCCTCTCAATGAAAATAGCCTTGGTTAAAAGCATCTGTCAAAATGTTTAAGTGTGAGTCAGCAGGTTAACTGTGTCACTTAAATATTAACAACATTTTAATTAACTGTACTTTTGACAGTGGTGTGTGTTTTAACCAGGAGCAGTAAAGCAGACATGGCTGGCATTTATTATGAGAAGATTGATGTGGAAGGGCATCACTTTGGGCCTCGCTCTCCGGAAATACAGCGCGCCATTCGCTCCCTGGATCAGGCTTTCCAGATTCTCAACCAGAAAATCAGGGTATTTTTACACAAGTAAAAAAAAAAAACAATATCTCTTGTCTGCTCTGCTGCTTTACATGATGTTGTTTTTTTCTGTCAGGAGAAGAATATGAGGGATACTATAAACGTGGTGCTGTTTTCTGATCATGGCATGACGCAGCTGAAGTGGATGGAGAAGATCATTGAACTGGACAACTACATCGACATGTCCCACATCATTAAAATGATGGACAGAGGGCCCGTGGTCAGTCTGTGGCCCAAACAGGACAAGTTTGAGGAGGTGAGCTCAGCCATCCTGTTTACAGCACCGTTTTCTAAGACATCTCCATAGACTACCTGTTTGCATCTATGGTTTTCCTATACCCCATGATGTTATTACAGTCCCAAATCAGAAAAAGTTGGGACAGTATGAAAAACGCGAACAAAAAAAGAAAGTAGCTATTACTAAGTGAAGTTTATTTATAAACTAACTTCGAGAGGAGCACGCGCTTATGATTGATAGCACCTGGTCCACATTAGCTAATGCTGATTCACCAATCAGACCACTATAAATAACCAGAGTATCTTACCTCAACCATCTTCGTCTTGAAGAATCCCCCCTTCCACCCCTACTCCTCCCATTTCCTTGTCAGGGCCTAGTGGTTAGCACCACAGCAAGAATGCCACCGGCTCGGACTCTACCTGGCTAGGTCGGCGTTTCTGTGCGGAGTTCGCATGTTCTCCTCGTGTTTGCATGGGTTTTCACCGGGCTCTCCGGTTTCCTCCCACAGACCAAAAACATGTAACATAAGTAAATTGACAAATCTAAATTGACAGCATAGACACTTCATAGCATTTTATTCTACTTCCAACATTATCAAGCAGGGGAGTACTCAAGACCTACCTGAACTCGGACTTCCCTCTCGCCCTGCATTGGGGGGAGCCCCGGGCTCGAGGATCTCACGAGTTCAGGGCTCTCTCCTGGGACAGCATGCCAAACAAGCTTTATAATCAATCATCAGCTAAGGGCGAACTCTTGAAATTTACTTTTTAATTGCAGACAATGCAACAAACATTATTTAATGTGTTTCTCATGATTTTTATAGAAAAACAAAATATAATTTTGGTTCTTGCAACACATTTAAACAAAAGTTGGAACAGTGAAGTATTTACCATGTTGTAATGTGTCATTTCTTTTCAGAAGTGTCCCATTCTTCCTGCAAACAAGTCTTAAGCTGGGCAACAGTACGGGGCCTTTGTTGTTGCACTTTGCTCTTCAAAAGTCATGTAAAATCTCTCCCCCAAAAATACCTGAATTATTGATTGATCTGACCACAGTTCACATTTCCACCGTGTGATGGTCCATCCCAGATGCCTCTGAGCTCAGAGAAGTCAACGGCACTTCTGGACACTGTTAACATAGGGCTTCCTTTGGGCACAGTACAGTTTTAACTGGCATTTGTGGATGTAACTGCGTATTGTGGTACTTGACAAAGGTTTGCCAAAGTAATTCTGAGCCCATGTGGTGAAATTGTTTGTGGATGAATGAGGATTCTTGCTGAGGGATCGGAGATCACGGTTGTTTAACTGAGGCTTGCCCCCATTGCCCTTTACACGCTGAAATTCCTTCAGGTTTCTTGAATCTTTTAATTATGTAATGCACTGTTAAAGGTGAAACATCCAAATGCAACCCAGGCTCGTTCTGAAAACTTACCTCTATATACATTTCTGGAGACCGCCAAATATGTCCCGCGAGGGATTTTTGTTGGATTTTCATTTTAGAAACATATATTGAAAAAAGAAAAATTTGACTTTTTTTTCGTTTTAATATTGAATATTGAAATATGAGGTGTTTTTCTTTTTCATGGTGAAAAAAAGCAAAAAAAAAAAACAAAAAAAAAAGATTTGAAAAAAAAGCAAAATTCAAAAATGATTTGATTTAAATTTTTTATTTATTTTGAATACAAAAAATAAAATCACCAAAAAAAATAAAAACGAATAAATGCTTGTTTTTTATATTCCGAAACTAGATTTTGTTTTCTTGTTTTTGGTTTTTCAATATCCGTTTCTAAAATAAAAATCCAATGACCAAAACATACACTGACCCACGAGCTACGTTTTTTTGCAGTTTTTGTTTTCGCAAATCCACCAAAGGCCAATGTATACGCTTTTTGAGATCTCTTTTGCGAGTGCAATTCAAGTCCGCTGTTCTCGCTTAAATCCACCAGAGGCCGCTGTCGACTGACTGACTGACCGATCAACTGACCCACCCTTCTCCTTGTCTAAACCCAACCGACAGTTTTAAAAAGCAGTCCAGAAAAAGGAAATCCCTCGACTGATTTGTACCACGTTTTTAGATTTTTCCACATTCTCACCCTGTTATTTACTTGTTTATTTTATTTTTTGGATTCTGTTTTTGTCTTACCCGCTTTCTGGAACTGTTATTTGCCAGACTCGAAACCTATCGTCACAGTCAACTCCTCTCTGCATCTTAAGTCCACCAACGTACATGACGAGCTAACTGGACAAACTGGTAACAGTGGGAAAGCAGTCCACACGGAGGTACGCAGTCAGCTGGTAAGCGCGAATAGGAACGGCGTCATACCGCTCTGTAGCGTTTATTAAAAAAATTAAATGCAGCCATACATAACTCTGGCTATATAATTTGCGATCTCCAGAAACGTACATAGGGCTACGTTTTCAGAATGAGCCTATGTTGTCCAAATGTCTGCCTACAATATCTTTCTACGAGGAACATTGTTTTTTTAAACATTTCAATAATTATCTCACGTATTTGTTGGCAAACTAGAGATCCTCATCTCAACTTTGCTGTATTTTCCTGCTTTAAAAATAAAGCAAATAAACTAAACTTGTCTTTCATTCATGAACAGACTACAACAGGATGATTTTTAGTGCAGTCTTGGTATTTGAAGTGATTTGTTTCAGTTCTTTTGAATGGAAGTTTTCCAAACTGGGTGTGCAACTCCATTTAAAACGCAGTCATGTGCGGTAAAAGGCAGATCTCCAGTCTTAAGGTCAAAAAACACGCTTGGTGTAAGAATTCATTAATGTTAAATAGGTGACTGTGTACTTTGACCTTCAGATTTAAACTTTAACTCTGCTGATATTTTCATGCTTAAATCATTGATTTACTGGACTGCTAAAAAACACAAACATAATGAGAAGGTCCCTGGTTCAAGCCTCGGCTGGGTCAGTTGGCGTTTGTTGCTGGGTCAGTCATGCTAGTTGTGTTCTAAAGATCTTTAGCAAAATGCTAAACCTGTCACAGTGTTAAAACAAGCTAGCAAAATTGCACTTAATGTTAGCATAATGTTAATTATGTTAGCAATGTGCTAGAACCCTCAAGCATGCTATCAATGTTAATTCATTTTGACAACCCTGTTGAAAAATCCGGCTTAAACCAGCCTAGGCTGGTTGGCTGGTTTTAGCTGGTCAACCAGGCTGGTTTTAGAGGGGTTTTGGCCACTTCCAGGCTGGTTTCCAGCCATATCCAGCCTGGTCCTAGCTGGTCAGGCTGGGAGATGACCAGCTAAAACCAGCTTGACCAGCCTAGCCAAGCTGGGAGTCCAGCCAAAACCAGCTATATCCAGCTTAAACCAGGCTGGTCAAGCTGGTTTTAGCTGGATTTGACTGGTAATTTTCCAGCCTGACCAGCTACGACCAGGCTGGAAATGGCTGGAAACCAGCCTGGAAATGGCCAAAACCCCTCTAAAACCAGGCTGGTCGACCAGCTTAAACCAGCCAATCAGCCTAGGCTGGTTTAAGCTGGATTTTTCAGCAGGGAATGTGTAACCATGGTAGAAAACTGCTAGTAAAGTGGTTTATCCATGATAGCATAGTGTTAACACATCCAGGGAGATGCTAAAAACACTAGCAGCGTCTAATTCATGACAGTTAATAACATGCTTAGCACCACCAAGATGCTAAACACACCATAACATGCTTAATTCCCAACATAAATATTCATTCATTTTCTTTTCGGCTTAGTCCCTTTATTAATCTGGGGTCACCACAGGGAACGAACCGGCAACTTATCCAGCATATGCTTCACGCAGCGGATGCCCTTGAAACCCATCACTGGGAAACACACACACTCATTCACACACTTATACACTATGGTCAATTTGGACCATATTTTGGTCTTTGGACTGTGGGGGAAACCGGAGAACCCGGAGGAAACCCACATGAACACGGGGAGAACATGCAAACTCCACACAGAAATGCCAACTGACCCAGCCGAGGCTTGAATCAGCGACCTTCTTGGCTGTGAGGCGAACGTGCTACCCACTGTGCCACCGCGTCGCCCCTTCACAACATGAATAAAATGCTAAAAACATGCTAAATGTGATATGACAGTGTTAAAAACATGACAGCAAGATGCTAAAACACACTAGAACCTTTTTAATTCATAATGTTTAACACTTTAAAATGTTAAAAACATGCTGAACAGAGCTTGTAACCTGCCATTTACCATATCTGCTAGAAACATGCTAGCAACGTTAATTTATGTTAACAAGTACCATGTTTTTATGTAAAACATGCTAACAAGATGCTAAAATCTTTAGTTAACATGACAGCAGTGTTCACTGATGTTAGCAACATGCTAATTTATGCTAGGAACTTGTTAGAAGAATGTTAATTCATGTTAATCAAGTCTCTAATGGTCATATTATTTCATTGTGTTTAACTGTGCATATATAATATAACATAATAGACAGGAACAATACATTTTGCAGTGCCATAACCTGACTATGTGCACATGTTTGTGTTCATTTAGATTTATCAGAACCTGAGCACAGCGGACAACATGAACGTTTATAAGAAACACGACATCCCAGACCGTTTTCACTACAAGAATGGGCAGTTCGTCTCGACGCTAACGCTAGTCGCAGAGCCTGGATGGTTTATCACAGAGGTTAGTAAGTTTGCTCTCAGGAGTGTTTATGGCAGTGTTTTATGATTAAGGTCAGTCCAACCAAATCTAGATGTACTGCAGATATTGCTGCCTTCATTTAAGTCAACTTGTCCTTATCTGTGCTATTCAAACTTTTAGTGTACCATCCACTATCTCAGCAGTGAGTTAAAGATGTAAATTAAGTCTTGGATGTCCCTAGAGTGTGTATGTGAAGTTTCAGCTTAAAATACAACTCAAATAATGTTTAATAACTCTTTGAAACTGCTCCTTTCAGGCTTTGAGTCGAATATTGGTTACTGTTGCTTTAAATTCAAATGAGATTGTGCTCTTTTTAAAAGCGGGCGGAGCTACAGATGCCTGTGTGTCAGCATAGTGGCAGATTCAAACACAAAACTAACTTTCCTATGCTAATAAGGGAGAGATCGTCACTAGTGGGCAGGGCTTTTCTCCTCTGATGACACGTACAGCCGGAGAATGTCAATCAAAGTGTTTCTGCGGACTGTTTTAATCAAGTGTGGTTATAAAGAATAAAGTTAATACATTTTTACCATTATTAGTTGGTTATATTCAAAGACTGCTGCCACACAATTGTGTTTAAACCCCTAATAAAAGTGATTTTTGCATAATAGGTCCTTTTTAATTTGTTGTTTTGTAGACCGCTGACAAGAATGGCTTCAATCATGATTCAGTCTTGCATATTAAGCTCTATTTTGCCCCAAATCAACACTTTTGGTCCTGTGTGCTTGCCTGATAAAACATAGATTATCTCAGTCCTGCGTCATTAGATTACATTAAACGCCTATCCAGATCCCTTGACTGAATAAAGGGTAAAAGATGCTAACTGCTGCACATCTTTCTGTCTTGACAGAATAAAGCCAAACTGCCCTTCTGGAACAACGGCACAGAAGCAGCTGAGGGCTGGCAACACGGCTGGCACGGCTATGATAATGAGTTTGTGGACATGAGGGGATTTTTTCTGGCACAGGGACCAGGTAAACTTTATTTAATGATAAATGATGAAACTTAATCCTATTTGTATGATGGCATCATTGGGTGCTTGGGTCTTCAGTATCACATTATCCTACTGAAAGTATTCTTGCATGCTGATTTTTGATCGTTATTTGAAACTTAATGTTCTGTACTGTTCAAATGCTTGTGACTAGTGTTTTAATTAACTACTTTATAATTCATAGACTGTATAAAGCTATGGAAGAAGTTCCGTGATGTCACTTGCAGGTTTCTGAAGAATTTATTTGAAGCTCAAACTGAAGCACATCACCCACATTAGTATAAAATAACACAAAATTTTAGCTATGTAACCAAAACCATGCGGTGCGGTGGCGCATGGGTAGCGCTGTCACCTCACAGCAAGCTCCGGTTTCCCTCATAAGTTCAAAGACGTGCTATAGGTGAATTGGGTAAGCTAAAATAGTCCGAAGTGTATGTGTGTAAATGAGTGTATATGGGTGTTTCCCAGTGATGGGTTGCAGCTGGAAGGGCATCCGCTTCCCGTTCCAGTCATGCATCGCTCACACACACCTGTTCCAGATTCTGCTGATTGCACACACTCACAGCCAGAGGATCACTATGGACTGATTACAAGGACTATATACACAGCACACACGCACACTTCATGGCTGAGTCTTGTGAAACTGTTTGTGAATATTACGATGTGTTTCCCTTGTCAGTTTTAACCATTACTTTGTTTGTTTGTTTATCCCTGTCTTCTGATTGCCTTCTGACCACTCGCCTGTTATTTTGACTACAAATCTGGATTGCCTGTATACATCTGTTTGCCCCTGTGTTGACCATTGCTTACCTGACTATTCTGTTTTGTAAACCTGTGTTTGGATCTGCACCTCTGTTGTCAGTGTCCAAATCACATTACGGAAGACTCAGCCATGAAGTGTGCGTGTGTGCTTTTTATATAGTCCTTGTAATCAGTCCATATTGATCCTCTGGCTGTGAGTGTGTGCAATCAGCGGAGTCAGGAACAGGTGCATGTGAGCGGTGCATGACTGGAACTCGTAGTCCATGTAATGGTGGATTTGTTGTTCTAAGCGATCTACATGCTTATCAGCGATCTGCAGTCGCTAGATCGCTGGTGATCATAACACCCATAGTCTTTAAAATGTTTTGTTTTTCAAAAACAAAAACATCCATTTTGTAAGCCTTTTTTAAGCTTTTTTTTTAAAAACACTGCTGTTGTGTAAACGAACAAACAAAAACATAAAAACGTTCCTGTAAACGGCTCCATAGTCTTTTAACTCATCATCATTTATATATATATATATATATATATATGTATATAGAGACTTTAAAAACCTTTCAAAAACGACAACTTTGTAAGCCATTTTTAGTTTCCAAAACACTGTTTTTATGTTTTTAAAAATGTCATTTGTCACCCGTTTTAAGTCCTCAAAATGCTGTAAACAAACAAACAAAATACATAAAAGTTTCTCTTTTTGTTTGTTGTCGTTTTGTTATCAAAATGTTGTCATGTGAACAACCCCATAGTCTGTCAGATGTTTTATTTTTCTGTCCAGATTTCTAGAATGACTTGTTTTTAAAAACATCCATTTTGTAACGTGATTCAGTCCCCAAAAAGCAGTTGTTGTCGAAACAAACAAAAAATAAATAAATAAATACATTTTATAATCTAAAATGGCTGCCATGTGAATGGCCCCATAGTCTGTTAGCCCATCATCATTTAAATCTTTTATTTTTCTGCCCAGACTCCAAGAACAACTTCAAAAACGTCAACTTTATAACTCATTTTCAGTCCCCAAAACACTGTTGTGTAAACAAAACGCATAAAAAGTGTTTTTTTGTTGCCAAAAAAATGTTGTTATGATCACCAGCAATCTAGCGGCTGCAAATCGCTGATGAACATGTAGATCGCTTAGAACTACAAATCTGCCATTACATGGACTACAAGTTCCAGTCATGCACCGCTCACACACACCTGTTCTAGATTCCGTTGATTGCACACACTCACAGCCAGAGGATCATTATGGACTTCATGGCTGAGTCTTGTGATACTGTTTGTAAACACTATGATTCATTTCCCTTGCCGGATTTGACCCTCGCTTTGTTTGTTTGTTTTATTGTTTATTCCTGTCTGCTGACTGCCTTCTGACCACTCGCCTGTTATTTTGACTACGAGTCTGGATTTCCTGCATACATCTGTTTGCCCCTGTGTTGACCATTGCTTGCCTGACTATTCTGTTTTGTAAACCTGTGTTTAAATCCGCACCTCCGTTGTCAACAACTTTAATGTTTTTGAAAATATCCATTTTGTTACTATTTTTCAGTCCCCAAAACACTGTTGTTGTGTAAACGAACAAACAAAACAGCTATAAATTTAAAAAAAAAATTCTTTTGTTGTTTAAAATGTCATGTGAACAGGCCGTTCACATGACATTTTAAACAACAAAAGAAAAAAAATGGAAATTTATAGCTGTTTGAAATCCAGACTCGTAGTCAAAATAACAGGCGAGTGGTCAGAAGGCAGTCAGCAGACAGGAATAAACAATAAAACAAACAAACAAAGCGAGGGACAAAACCGGCAAGGGAAATGAATCATAGTGTTTACAAACAGTTCAATAGTCTATAAACTCATTATCAGTTAAATGTTGTATTTTTTTGTTCAGACTTCAAGAGCAACTACCGTGCGGGTCCCATCCGAACAGTCGATGTGTATAATGTCCTGTGTAAGACGCTGGGGATGAATCCTCTCCCGAACAATGGCTCGTGGTCCCGTGTGGAGTGTATGATGAGGAGCTCTGCTGCTACGGCCGGAGCTTCACTGATCTCCTGCTGTTTCCTGCTGCTCCTCGCGCTCACCGGCGTCTGCTAACATTCATCCAGGTTCACCAGTAATCAACACACCTGATAAACCCCAGGAAAAACATTGGTATCAGCTTTTTTAATTTGCTGCGCTGCCTCTATTTTTGGAGCTGTACATATCACCCGGTGCTGATGGAGTTGAAGAAACGATTGGCCCTTTTGCACATTTTCTTTCTCTGAAATGGGATGACCTTTGAGATTTATATTTTAGTAAGGTGATCTCTGTGTTCTCCAAATGTTTTCTGTCGTCTCGTGAATAATTAATGTAGCCTGTCCAACATAGGCTTATTCTGAAAATGTATCCCTATATACATTTTTGGAGATCGCGACTTATGTAGCCAGAGGTACGTATGGCAGCATTTAGTCTTTAAAACGAATGCTAGGGGGCGGTATGACGTCATTCCTTTTCACGCTAGCAGCTGACCACTTACCTCTGAATGGACGGCTTTTCCCCGTTACCAGTTTATCCAGTAGCTCGCCTTGCACGTCGGCGGACTTGAAATGCAGTGAGTTGACCACGATGATTGGGTGTCCGGTGAAGAATGGTTGTAGAAAGCAGGTAAGACTAAAACAGAAGCAAAAAAATAAAATAAACAAGTAAATTACAGGATAAGGATGTAGTAAAATCTGAAAACCTGGTAAAAATCAAGCGAGGCCTTTTTTTTCTGCATTACTTTAAAAACTGTTGGTTGGGTTTAGGGAAGTTGGTGGGCGCTGGTCAATTGGTGCTTTTGAAAACACTATCGGTTGGGTTAAGAGGAGGGTTGGTCATTCAGTCAGTCGACAGTGGCCTCTGGTGGATTTATGCATGGCACACGCGAAAGAAATTTGAGATCTCAAAAAAAAAGCGCCCTCTGGTGGATTCACAAAAACTCCTGGGACAAAATTGACGCTCTCCAGAAATGTATGTAGGGGTACATTTTTAGAATGAGCCTGGGTTGATCCTGTCAATCTTGAACAAAAACAGTAAGGGTGAATTTATTATTTTTTTCTGATCATGTATTATTATGTAAAATAACTTGACTAATGTCATCACCTTAGAATTATACGGTTCTGTCTGCGTCATGAGCAGTATTACGATATTGAGATGTTAAATATTACAATCCTTTTAAGGTTATAAATTGAGATTTTTAGAAAAAACTTTATAAGTCTAAAAAAAGACATTCTGTTATTATATTAGGATTATGGAGAATTATATAGAACTATGTTTAATTAAAGCAATAAATATAAGGAAAAACATATTATTTATTTTACGGCTATTGTTTCACAAAAACAATGAACGTCAGATAGAACCTATAATTTAGGTGATGATGCGTTTCCTATTTTCTGTCAGGATCTGTACTGTTTTGAATGTATTATAATATTTTAAATAATTATTATTTGTTGAATTTATATAACCATAGATTTTTTTGTCTAGTACAGAGTTTGTACTAACTTCTTTCTGAATAAAAAGGGTTTTCTTTTGAGTACTTCTTCAAGACTACAAGACGTTTTTGTTATTTTGAAACTACATTTTCCATTTATTACGGAATCAGATAACGAGTATATCATAGAGTATTTGATAATTATGGAATGCACTTCATGTATATTAATTTGAAGCGTTTGATTTCGTCAAATTAATGAGCTCCCGCCACCTGCTGGTCTGACTGATCATCTTAAATTACAAAAAATAATATGTTATTAACGAGTTCACTGTCTAAATGCTTAGAGATTTTGAGTTGGATGTAACTAGTTAACTTATTATTGTTATTATGACGGGGTTATTACTAGAAATATGATTTTGTGCAATGGCTTGAAAGTCAGACTCTTTTCAGTTGACCTGATAAAAACGTTCACGATGAACACTAGGTGGAGCAAAAACACAATGAATATGTATTGTTTATCATTCAGACTCAAACTGGTTGCTGTACACATGTAGTCCTACATTATGGTGTAATAGGCTACGGTAATCTGTTATGTGTGTGATTTGTACAATTATTTCGTAAACACAGCACTTGCCGAACGTACCTCAGGAATTTGTTGTTATTGGTGACCTTGTTGTATAAGTAGACATCACTATTTTAGGTTCTTATTATTTAATTATTTATTTTCCTTCGGCTTAGTCCCTTTATTATTCAGGGGTCTCCACACCGGTGTGAACTGCCAATATATCCAGCATATGTTCCAGCTGCAACCCATCACTGGGAAACACCCATACACACTCAGTCACACTTATACACTTCAAACAATTTTAGCTTACCCAATTCAACTAAACTGCATGTCTTGGACTGTGGGGGAAACCGGAGCACCCGGAGGAAATTCACGCCAACACGGGGAGAACATGCAAACTCCACACAGAAATTTCAACTGACCCAGCCCGGGCTCGAACCTCGAATCCCTGGTTCTTATTATACTTTTTATCACTGAATATACATTATCATTTGTATTATTTCACTTTTTATTACTTTTTTAAATCTAAGCAGTGTATCTGGTGTTATGCAATCGATAAAATGAATTTATTTATTTTTACTATTATTATTATTATTATTGTTGTTAATATTATTGTTATTATTATTACTATT